ACGGATTGTCAGGGTAATCTGACGATCCGTTTAGGTGAAAACCTAGCTAAATTTTAACTCTTTAGGTTCATATTTAGGTTTGGTCTACTTAGTGTATTGAGCACTTTACGTAGTTACTTTTTGCTTTACTCGTTTTGGAGTTTTTTTTTTCTTTGGACTCTGAGCCTGGATTCTGGACGATGGTTTTCGCCTCAATTTCATGTTCTTAGTTCTTTCTTTTTTATTCCTTATTTTCCCTTGGGCATTGGTTTGTTTAATTATAATCCAAAATACATAAGGATTTTTCCAAACGAGTATAACTATATATATATATATATATATATATATATATATATATATATATACATTTGGTAATAAATAAGTGTATTTGTAAAACTTTTGCCCATGAACCTGCATTATTTTTTTAAAATTACACTGCATGAACTAAACCTACATAAGCGAGTGAAAAAACGTGATTCACGTTAGACGGCTGAAAATACAGAATCACGAATCGTCACACACGTGACTGAAATTTGTGACATATGTGCATATTCTGAAATGTGACATTTCAACGTGTACTTCTCAGTGCTCCCTGTGTGTATTGTGAATTTTAAATGTTTTTATATTAAAAGTGAAAAATGGCGGAAAATGTAATGCATTTGATGCTCTTTTATTCCCAGAAAGGAAAACAAACGCCGTATAAAACAAAACAAACGCCGTCTAAACAGCAAAAACATATGTGCCGTTTATGTAGATGGTGCCGTAGCTGAAAGTAATGTTCAAACGTGATTCGCTAGCCTTAGAAGTGGAATTTTTATCTGGAGGCATGAGAACGGGCTGGCAGGCTTTCTGTCTACGTTGACGACCAAATGGAAATGCTGATGAAAAATAATCCAGGACACATAACACGGGACATCGTAGAGATACTCCACCTATCTCATTGTAAGGTATTTGAAAACATTGTTTTCCCTCTATTTTGCTGCGATATTCTCGTATGCTTTTCCGAATTGTGATGTAGGTGTCTACCTGCGCTTTAGGACATCTGGAAAGATTTTTGACCTCCGGAGATTCAATACAAAATCTAAGTGTTTTGATGTTGTAACTAGAGATCTACTCTATGCAGATGATGCTGACCTGGTGTCTCACAGTAATGAAGATACGCAAGCTGTAATGGACCTGTTCTCTAAGGCATGTTCGTCTTTTGGTCTGACTATAAGCTTAAAGAAAACAAATGTCATGCATACACCATCCCACTCTCTGAATTATAATGAAGAAGATATCTTTGTTAATGGACATAGATTGGAAATTACTGATGCTTTTATTTATCTCGGCAGTGTTCTTTCAAGAGATGGCTCACTTGATGCCGAAATAAGTCATCGTGTACAAAAAGCAAGTAAAGTCTTTGGAATGTTAGAATATCGTGTATGGCCAGATAGAGGTATTTAAGTCAAAACTAAGTTAAGTGTGTATGAGACGTGCATTTTAACTGCTCTACTATACTACTAAGAGACATGGACCACTTACCGACGACACATTCAAACTTTGGAACGTTTTCATCAAAAGTGCGGAGGATTCTAGTTATTAAGTAGAAATCTTTTATTCCGGACACTGCGATTTTAGAAAGAGCAAATACGTTTAGTATTGAAAAGATGCTAACATGTAACCAGATTCGCTGAGCTGGTCACATCATAAGAATAGAGGATGATCGTCTCCCAAAACAGTTGTTCTAAGGTGAATTGACAAACTGCAAATGTCCTCCACACAAACCAAAAAAAAAAAAAGCGCTTCAAAGATGCCATTAAAAACAACCTTAAAATGTTTGGATAAGTAGAAACAATTGTGAGGCAGGTGATAGGTCTATAACTGGCGGAAACTTGTTTATGGTGGTGTTTTGAAGAGAAAAAGGGTTGAGCATGCAAAAGTGAAACGAGCCTTAAGGAAAGGTGATGTTAATCTTTGGCCTCAAGACTGCCAGCCTAAATGTACTTTTTGCAGCAGAATTTGCTTGTCCAAAGCTGTTATAACCAGTCACATGAGATACGATCTCCACAATAATATAGACCATGTTTCTCAGACTGAACGCCTTCCTCCCAGACCAACTTGCGCTCTATGTCAGTTTTTGCAACATAATCTGCAAATTACCAGCTGGTCTAAAGAGGCGCACTAATAGATTTCATCAAGCCAAAATAACCTTCAGAACTCTCATTACACTATAACATTTGTTATTTATGTAAGAAATCTTGTAAGAGTGCAGCAGGGTTAAAGAGCCACTTGCGTGCACATAAACATGGCAATGTACTGTAAGTTGCAGTCACTATCATAAATGTAAAATGGCTGTATATAGTTTTAAAGCTATCTTAACTGGGTGGTGTTATTCCTTTTATCATTTTACTACCGTTTCTTCTTTTCTATCCTTTTAAATATTCTTTTAACTGTAAGTGTTTACCATTTAAAAATTAAGGATAGGCTTTTATAAATTGTTTGCAAATGCGAGTGATTTTTTTTATCTTATTTAATCCTTTTTATTTTTTATCGTTTTTAAATTCTTTTATACTTACTGATCTTCATTTTAAAAGTAAGACGAGTTGGTTGTCTTCTGTAAAGAATTGTCAGCCATCATATATATGACTTGCCTTGTCCTGTAAAAGAGGTGAATCATCTCAATCATCAGAGACGTACACATTTCCTTCGTATTCCACTGATCAGAATGAAGTTCCATTCGATCAGCTTCCAGCTACATTCCAAAAACTGGTGCTTTGTGGAAAAGACTCCCGAGAGGATGCTTTCCGATCGATACAATGTTAACTTCTTCAACTCTACGTTCAACGATTAACTATCTTAGATAACCTCATAATCTACAATTGTTACCCATTCCACCTATTACGTTCATATAACCTCATTCAGTATCCATCTACCTTGAGCGGCTCTTGGGCTTTGAATAAGGTGAACAATTAATAATATATGAGTGTGTGTATTTTGTGTTTGCGATAGGAACTCTAATGAACCAATCAAATTTAATGATAATAAACTAATCCAATTTTCCCGAAATTTAGGGCAATACCTTGTCAAGTGTCATACTTGATTTGATATATATATCTATACAAGATACTAGTTTTTCTTCCCTGCATCTAAGACTATATACACTCATACATTACACTTGTTGCGCGCTAGCAGATCTTTGTGACGAATATTGAAAGTATATTATTTTGTTTATTATATATATAAATTATTAGCTCTGAATTTACATTGAGCTCTCAGGATTTCATCCTCTTTGGGACTACCCATACGGAGTACCAAGTTTTTCGTAACATGACTATATATATATATATATATATATATATAGAGAGAGAGAGAGAGAGAGAGAGAGAGTCCATAAAGTTCGTGTGCACTTTAAAAATTTATAACTTTATTTGTATTTGCGATAGAAATAATTTGTAAAAAGGATTAGAAAGAAGTAAATCTATATTTTTAAGGTTTTATTAAAATTTTACTTAAGCTTCCACATGTCCTCCTTCATTAGCAATACAAAGGGTAATACGATTTTGCAGTTCACGGAAAACGTTTGCCAACTGATTTACAGTAATGCGGAGTAGTTGTTTTAGCTATACTTAAAACTAGGTACATTAAACTTTATAATATTTTTTTTTACATATTATTTCTATCGCAAATACAAATAAAGTTATAAATTTTTTAATGAGCACATGAATTTTATGGACACCCTGTATATGACAACAACAGAACCTAAGACGTTAAATGCCGGAGGTTAATTACGAAATCTGGCTACAAACACCGACTTTATAATAGACTGCTTAGGCAATAAAAAATTATGAGTTGATTTATAACGTTAACTGAACACTCAACATTATTTTCGCACTAAAAGTGTCACTGAGATTAGACTCATTGTTGGCGCCTGCAGATAAAAACGTGTCAGAAAATGCTAAGCACGTGATAACTCGTAGTCGGTGTTCTAATAATAAATAAAAAAAAAAACTGCCAAACACGAGTTATCTCCATTATTTACACTATTGTCTTCATCTTTGTCGTCATATTTATTACATTTCGGCCGTTGTATGCTCCGGTCTTCTTCAGGTGGTTGGAATGTCCAACTGAACCCTTTATTTCGCTCACTGTGGTAGACTGTTCTTGTTCCACCTGCCATGTTTAATGGATGTCAGTTATCAGTTATCTCCTGTTAATTTCACTCTGAAAGTTCTCCACTGCCTTTACCAGGTATTGAACTCACACTCTTTGGGTCCAGTCACTGGATCTAACCAACACCTTTATCCACTCTGCCATGTGTCCTCCTAAATAGTGTATATTAAAAAAATTCTCCACAAGACCCAATCGCAAAACAATTTTTAAACCCTTCTTGGTCGGGCTGAGAACTTTTTATCAGAGTTATGCTGGCTATAAAATGCCAGTATAATTCAAAACTCTGCATGACAGAGTTTTGAATTATACAGCCGTTGTACGCTCCGGCCTTCTTCAGGTGGTTGGAATGTCGAACTAAACCCTTTATTTCGATCACTGGGGTAGACTGTTCTAGTTCCACGTGCCATGTTTAATGGATGTCAAGGACACATGGCATAGTGGATAAAAACGTTAGTTAGGTCCAGTGACAGGACCCCAAGAGTGTGAGTTCAATACCCGGCTAAGGCAGTGGAGAACTTTCAGACGGAAATTAACAGAAGATAACTGATAACTGACATTCATTAAACATGGCACGTGGAAATAGAACAGTCTACCCCAATGAGTCAAATAAATGGTTCAGTTCGACATTCCAACCACATGAAGAAGGCCGGAGCGTACAACGGCTGAAAGTTTGTAACAAATATGGCGACAAATATGAGGACAATAGTCCGAATAATGTAAATAATGTACATAACACCTCATCTCAGAAATATAGACAGATACGAGTTATCTCGTTACTAAGTTAACCTGTCAAGGTGGTCAGAAATGTGTTGGCTAGGTGTTGTATTCACAATCATCTTTCTTCCTAGTAAACAAGCTCGCTGATTTTTATGATAAACATTAAAACTCTCTCTCTCTCTCTCTCTCTCTCTCTCTCTCTCTCTCTCTCTCTCTCTCTCCTTGTGATAAACATTACTGAAATGTATTTATTTGTTAAGTTTATTTATGGGTGAGTAACTGTACAACTACCTGTGTTTATACGATATTTATAGAAAAGACATTTCTGCAAGTGTTTACTCACTTTCACCCCCTTTTTTCCTCCAGTCATTTTGTATTATAACTTGCTCTTAGCGATTATAATATTATGTATTGCTTAGGCTACTCGACGAGACATCATTAGAATTTCTCCACGACTGGCCCCAACGGAGTTCCCTTGACTCACTTTGAGTTCATTATTTAAAGAAGACTTGCCTAGTTCATTTGTGTTAACGGGGTGTCTTATTTATTCCACAACATATGTCAGTAACGAGACATTTTTTTCAAGATTGCCGTAGCCTACCCTCACACACTACGCGTTTTCTCACTTTCACACACACACACTCTCTCTCTCTCTCTCTCTCTCTCTCTCTCTCTCTCTCTCTCTCTCTATGTAATGTGTACTACTGAAATGCATTTGATTCGATACTCCCAAGTTTGATTATGGGGGTGAGTAACTGTACAACTACCTGTGTTTATACGGTATTTATAGGAGATACATTTCCCCAAGTGTTCACTCACCTTCTCTTCCTTTTTTCCAGTCATTTTGACATGTCAGTAACGAGACATTGTGTCAAGATTGCCGTAGCCTACGCACGCACCCTACGCTTTCTCTCACTTTCAGACACACACACACACACACACACATATTCTCTCTCTCTCTTTCTCTGTCTCTCTCGCTCTCTTTCACTGAATCTACTTATCACGATCTGTTCACATCTAGCAATTATCTATATATTGATCGATCAATGATAGTGAGCAGCCTTTGGCAGATATGAACAGATCGATCGATCGATATATAAATAGATAGACAGACGCATAGATGTTATGCGCGTGTGTTCAAATAAACGTACTCATCCACTTCTGCTATTCCCGCTCGATCTTATTGATTAACGCTGCTTTCCACGACCTCCAAAATGTCGGCTATTTTGAAAATAGAAAATTAATAAAAAAATTAAAAAAAAGCAAGTCATCATTATGCGATGTCGAGGCAATTCTAATTGTTTAATTAATAACCCAACTGAACAAATGAACGAAAAATGTTACTTCCTCTAATAAACTATTTCCGAACGCCAACCTTATATTCTTTCAGTTCTACGTTCTCTGTCCGCCATTTTCTCTATTCCTCTCCCAGAGTTGCTTGTATAAGCATTACTAAAAAATACTAAGTTTAAAATACTACTAACTCTTTATCCAAAGAAATCGAAAAACACACAGTTATTCCAAACACTAAAATTTTAACCACTAACTTCAAGATTTGATCAGCACGAAACATAAAATCCAAAACGCATCGATAGCTAAGAAGTATAAATTAGACTACATACATTGACATAAGAAATATATAGCCGAGCTATGCAGTTCAAGAATTCCCATTTATGAACACACGAGTCCTCTGTTTGCATAATCCATCAAACACCTTAGTAACGCATAGAAATTAAACAGGCCATAATATTGATTTTAAAAATGCTACCTTAGTAAAAAAAAATGGATACAACCAATTATGGAGAAAATACCTAGAAGGAATATTAATAAATAACAAATGCACAATTAATACTCGTTAGACGCACTCTTTTTATCACCTTCTTCTTCTTCTTCCTCTTCTTCTTCTTCTTCTTCCTCTTCCTCTTCTTCTTCTTCTTCTTCTTCTTTGTGCCGTGTCACTTCAGGACGTTGGCAACATGACTCTCCACAATTCCCCAACCTTTGACGCTCTTAACAAAATTTGCTGTTTTGTTATCTCTCCTAATCCCTGTTCCACCATCTGCGCAGCGACCCTACGGCCGCGACTGGTCATAGGAGTGATGATGAACCTACTTGTTTCTTATAAATATAGTCGGCCATATTGTTATATTGTAATTTCATCTTTGGACAAACCAACAAAAACACGAAACTAAGATACTCATCCGTAAAATTATTATTAACTTCGTCCATTCATATCGGCAGGTGAGTGTGTGACTCTAGGGTTCCCTCCAAACGAGGATTCTTATTTTCCTGGGAATCTAAGAGACTTTCTTCCTTTTTCTCCTCTAGGGTTGGCGCTTCTATATCTGGCATCTGTTTTTCCATATGTGTACAGCTAGGTGGGACACGTGCTTAGAAGTCAGAGAGACAGTTACTGACATCTTGTGAAGGCGCGGATCTGCACATGGTAGTTAAGAGGTTCTTTCTGATGCACCAGACTTCTCTGGTCGATAATGAGTGCTAAATCTATTTTGGCATCATCTGAGGTGATTCGAATTCTGCAATTACTTCTAGCCTTCGATTAGTTTGGAACGAGACCACAAACTAAAGGGTACCCAATGAGGCTCTCTGACTTTATCCATTACACCACACACACATCTAATGACATGGCACCTGGTATTTCCAAGCGGTCACCTATCTAGGTACTAGCTAGGATCGACCTTGCTTAACTTCAGTAATCATAAGGGAACCGGTATTTCAAGGTGATGTGTCCGTAAGCACGAGTAAAATACTCAATATCAGGAATAGAGAGCATGTAAATCTAAAAGTGGACACTGAGGTCAACACTGAGCGGCGACAGACTGTTACATGCTTGAATGCAATCTTCAGACAATGTCCTGCAGATTGCGTTCAAGTAAGAAACAGACTGTTGACATCAGTGCCCACTAAAACCTCTTACATGGTTACCAGCAACAATACAGCAAGCTAATCAAAATTTCAACAAACCAATGTTTTTTTTTTTTTGTTTTTTTTTTAAGAATTCATTTCTCCACTTGGACAATATAGCTCTAATTATAGTAAAAATTCGAACTCGCATACATTGGTTACACATTGACTACATAACCTCGTCGATTAACTTGTCATTTATCTGATAATATTCACATTATATCGCATGTCACCAAACAACAGACAAGAAATCTGACAAATCTTTGTCGATAATAACAATAATAGTATAGCTAAAAAACTAAAAAAAAAAAACTATGACAAATATTAGAAGCCTTAACTTAATAAAAAAAAATCAAGAAAATTTGATTCAATTTAGGAACAAGTATATTAAATATATTTCATAACTGCTAAAAAAAACAAAAAATGACTAGACAACACTATCTTACACCTGAAAATGCGATATTTGATTTGGTTAGGTTTGTGTTTTACGGCATATCAACCTCAATGGGTTATTTAATGCCGACAAAGTTTTATTGCTGGTAATATTTTGTTTTGTCAAATCTATTTCTGGTAATAATTTTTCCTTCAAAAAAGTATTGCTGGCAATATTTTTTCAAAAACGTATTGTTGATAACATTTTTTTCAAAAATGTATTGCTGGTAATATTTTTTTTTTTAACAAAATATTTCTGGTATTAAAACCCATTTTAGCCCCATTTTCGGCGTTAACTATTTGCCCATAGCTGGGACCCTAACAGGTGCTACCATCCCGGGTCAGGGTGGACCTGGGAACACCAGCATTTAAGAGGTGGTTCCATGCTCCTCAAAACCTCCTGATCAGAGGCCTTGCTGCTGGACGTAATTTATCATCATACCCAGGACGGCGCGATATTTGAAAAGCAACAAAGAGACACTGCATATTTATAAACGCAACTTTATTTTAACTCATGAGGCATTATTTGATAATAATACACCTAAATATCTCTCAAATCATCTGATTGCTTTTAAAGAATACCAAAAACCAGTTTCTTCCTCCAAGAGAAATATACATATTTACCAAACATAGTTGTGTAAACCATCAAAATGTCAAAGCTTCTTTTATGCTTAAATTTTACCCGGAAACTAGGAAAATGGTGGTGATGACGAAGGTTTTTGAGCGTATTTGTTGAAACTGGTGATCATACATAAATATGCACCCTCTCCCTGAAATAGTACTAAGGTGTGCTCAGCATAATTGAAGTATAAATCACAGGTTGGTATTGTGGAAGTTGAAGAAAGACAAAATGTGCCTGAGTAAGCTCCTGCAACAAGGATTAGCTAGCCACCTTAGCAGAGGCATGTACTTGAAATGGAGCATTCTCTCTCTCTCTTTTTCTCTCTCTCTCTCTCTCTCTCTCTCTCTCTATATATATATATATATATATATATATATATATTGTGAAATGGACAAAGTCCGACAATTATTCTAAGACATTTTTTTATGTTTATACGTTCTTTTTATAGATACAAATATTTAAGTTTATAGAATACAGGTTCGATTCCTGTCGGAGGACGCATATTTTCTATGAAAATTTCTCGGACATTCAGGCCGCTAAATGTTGTTAATACTGTTTATTATAAACAGACCATTTACTTAAATATTTGTATCTATATAAAGAACGTATAAACATAAAAAGTGTCTTAAATATATATATATATATATATATATATATATATATATATATATATATTAAGACACTTTTTTATTTATTTATATATATATATATATATATATATATATATATATATATATATATCATCATCATTATTACGACAATCACAATTACAATAGCCTTGTCTTTATAATTCACCCCTGAGAATGATCTCAGAAGAGATCGAAAGTACTTGTATAGGAAAAAAAAAACTACGGCGCCTTCCTTAATGTATTTCATAACATCAAAAAACTGATTAGAGAACTAGAAAGGATTATTATAAAAATAGACATAATATGTCTATATTATTCAATAAAACATGTATGAATGAAGATATACTGCATATATATATATAAATATAGGAATCCCTCTATTCTCTATTAGTGCGGCTAATGTGTACATCGGTAACTATAAAAATAATTTTTGAATTACTATGGTTCAGCTGAGAATGTTTTAACGCATTATTCGATGGATTGGTTTATATATATATATATATATATATATATATATATATATATATATATATATATTATATTGTGCACTGAATAAGATAGATAGGAAGAATGAGTGAATGACATACATCATTGTTAAAAAAATGCGTGAACAAGGTTTCCGGCTTTGGAAGAACCAGTTCTCCTGAAAGAAACTTTACCTGAGGGTAGAAAAGAATTTCGCAAGTAAACTTTATATTTGATGGGAAATAATTGCAAGGAAACTTTTTTATTTTGAATTTTCTTTCGTATTCTGCTTTTTCCTTCAATTTTCTTTCCTCGGTTTTTCTCTTTATCCTTTTTAGCTTCTTTTCATTCATTTTTCCATGTTCTTCTTTCTTTCTTTCTTTGCTCAGTCTCTTCCTTTATTTCTTCTTTGTCTGTTTCTTTTTCGCTTTCTCCCTCCTTCTAAACTTTCTTTCTTTCTTCTATTTCTCCTTCTCTTTCTTTTCCCTCTCCTTCTAGTCATTATTGCTTTATTTCTTTCTCTGTTCAATCCCTTCTTTCAGTTATGTTCTATTTCTTTTTCGTTTTCTCCCTCCTTCCAACCTTTCTTTCTTTCTTTCTTTCTTTCTTTCTTTCTTTCTTTCTTTCTTTCTTTCTTTTCCCCTCCATCCGTGCCTTTTTCTTTCTTTCTTTTGTCTTCAACCGAGACTTTCTCTCTTTTTTCTCTCCTCCCAGCCTTCCTTTCTTTCTTTCTTTCTTTCTTTCTTTCTTTCTTTCTTTCTTTCTTTCTTTCTTTCTTTCTTTCTTTCTCCCCTCGTTCTAGCTTTTCTTTCCTTATTTCTTTTTTTGTTCAATCCCTTCTTTCAGGTATTTTCTATTTCCTTTTCTTTCTTTCTTTCTTTCTTTCTTTCTTTCTTTCTTTCTTTCTTTCTTTCTTTCTTTCTTTCTTTCCCCCTTCATGCGTGCATTTTTCTTTCTTCCTTTTCTCATTTTTCTCTTTCTTTTGTCTTCCCCCGAGACTTTCTCTCTTTTCTCTTTCCTTCCAACCTTTCTTTCTTTCTTTCTTTCTTTCTTTCTTTCTTTCTTTCTTTCTTTCTTTCTTTCTTTCTCCTCTCGTCAGAGCTTTTCCTTCCTCATTTTTTTCTTTGTTCAACCTCTTCTTTCAGTTATTTTCTATTTCCTTTTCTTTTTCCTCTCCTTCAAACCTTTCCTTCTTTCTCCCCCCCCCCGCTTCATCCATGTCTTTCTTTCTTACTTTTCTTTAATTTCTCTTTCTTTTCCCCTTCTTCCATCTTTTCTTTCTTTATTCTATTCAGTTGCTTCTTTCAGTTATTTTTCTATTTCCTTAACTTTTTCCTCTTCTTCTAACTCTTCTTGCTTTTTTTCTTTGTACACCTAATTATCTCCCAAATAATCTGATTGCTTTAAAAAAAATATACCAGAAACATGTTTCTCCCTCCAAGGGAAATATTCATATTTACCAAAAATATTTGTGAAAAACTTCAAAATGTCAAAGCTTTTTTTATACTTTCTTCATTATTAGTAAAAACCAAATAGTAACAGTCCTACCCTTTCCATCTGGGTAGTTACAAACGTGGAGATTTAATGGCGAATCCAATACGATATTCGACAAGCACGACAAAGGATATTATTCCAACCGGACCAAACAATGGCGTTCACTCTTATTTGAACAGAACGTCTATTCCATCGGATACGCCTATAAAAAATATCTTCTTTCCTTTGTACATCAAACTGTGTTCTATTGATAAAGATACTAAAAAGATCGATACACTGTAATCAATACCTGACACGCGTCTCAATTTTCAATTTAGCAATTCAATATTTAAAAACAATGCTTTATTTAAAACATCTGATTATCGATGAAGTTAGTTTTTCGGTTCGTGTATCAGAAAAGTCGGGCAATTGATGATAGTATATGATATGATTTATATCGGAGAAAAACATCTCTTATTACTAAACGATTGAGGCTGTTTAAAACGGGAGAAAACCCCAGCAAGAACTGCATTTCTTTGTAGGTTTTCAAAGAGAGGGAAGTATCCGGATCCTGGTATGAGGATGGCTTATTCTTTTTCAGTGAGTGTTAACCTTTAGCGTCTACCTTACTCTTTTGGGGATAATTTTACGTCCTGTCCTGGGTGTACGCGCTCGGGTCGCCACCTAAAAATAGACCTTGTGTCACATCTCGTCCTAGTGGGGGGTGGGGACAGAGTAAATACTTACTCTTTTGGAGTAATTTCACGTATACTTATCATCTCTCAGTTGCGTCTCTGTCTTTGGGCAGAGTGCGCTCAGGGGCTTCTCTGTCAAAGGACAGAGGGGCAACTGAGAAAATAATACTGAGAGGTGCCCAGCCCTGGGGAACAGCTGCCCAAGACCGCGCCCTCCCATTGCACCAGAGGCCAGCGCAACCGACGGGCTGCGGTGTCTGAGGGGAATTTTTGTTCCTGTCCCGGGCATACGCGCTCGGGTCCCTACCTAAAAATAGACCTTGTGTCACATCTCGTCCTAGTTGGGAGACAGAGTAAATACCGGGTGTTAACCCTTTGCCCTCTTCGTTTCATACGATTATAATGAATCACTGGTGATTCGATCGAGTAAAAATCCGATAGCAAGTCTACTCTTCAGTGACGAGCATTGAACAACCCTTTAATTTAAACTGAGATGCATGAGGGACCAACTGTCCAAGTTTAGATACTTTCTGGGTTCATGAAATTGCTTTTTATTATTATTATTATTATTGAAGTCTGACTTGTATAGCTCTTTGTAAACCTTTTTGTGATCTGCTTACGATTTTCCTCAGCTACGGTTTGCTAAAGCGAAACTCTACTGAAACTGGTCAAACCATTGTTGACATGTCTAGACATTTAAAACTTTATTTCCATAGAAAATCTTCAACCTTCGTGCAAGGCAAAAAAATAAACGGTTTGTCAAGAGGACGGTTTTTCTCTTGAAACCGCTATTTTAATTACCTTTCCTCCTCGACAATGTTTATTGTTTTAAAAAGCGATAATAAAAATGCTAATAAAACCTAAACATATGAAAGTGGATTTATACATTTTCTTTGTTACTTCATATTTCAAACAATTTTATGGCGGATTCTAAAATTGATATTCATGATTGTATGTTATCAGTGCAACAGGTTCAACGCGTCACTGTTCCAAAAGATTAACTTGCTAACTATAGTGAACGATCGTGGCTCTCCCCAATTTCCTGTTTTAGCTTAAATGATTTTCACCATTTTATTGTCCCTTTTTATACCTATTCTGCCATCCAACTTCTGGAAAATCATAGCTCTCCACAACTTCCTGTTTTATTGTTAGCTTAATTAACTTTTCCCCTTTTATCGTTCCTTTTATCACACCTGGACTGCTATCCATCAACTTCTTCTAAGTGCCGTCTCACTTTAGAACATGAAAATAATGAGAGGAAAATTAAGATCTTGTCGTACCCAACACAAAATCATGACCTCAACCCCATATTTGAAGAAAAAACTAAGAGAAAGAAGTCTTTCGAATTTGGAGGAACTGGAAAGCTATTGCCAAGGAAGAATGGAGCAAAATACTTATCAGTGTGTGTAGTGATCTTGTATCAAAAATGATTAAAGGCAATAATCATCAATAAAGGTTACACAATTGATTATTAAGGCAAGAGGGTCAATAATCTGTTAAATGTTTTTTAGTGTTTTTTTTTTGTATTATTGTTTGACATTAAAATAAAAATTTTGTTGTAGGTATCACTGCACATTTTTATTTCATCATTTGTGAAAAAAGACACCTGAAGTTTCCATGGAAATTTGAGGTATTACAGCTTTATTTGCAATTATGGAATCGGGGGTGAATACTTCTGCCCACTGCTGTATGTGCGTGTGCGTGCGTTCGCGTCCGTGTGTGTGCCTGTGTTTGTGTTTAGGGTGCGCGGTGGTGCGTCTCAGAATGAGAAATCTGAGAGCCAAGTTCGAATTCCCGCTATGAATCTATCTCTTCTCCCTGACCCAAGCAAGGGTAAATAACAGACTGTTCCCTATATCCTTGGTTGGCAACCAGTCTAGGAGAAGGAATTCAGACCAACCTGGAGAGGGTTGGGCTCCGTCGGGCTCTCTTGACCAAGATACGGCTCTACTGCCACGGCTGAAGTACATGTGGTGCCCCTACGACTCACAGGGGTTACGGGACTCTTGATCGTGACCGTGATTGTGTGATATACATATACATTTTTTGCAGGAAAAAAACGGTATCAACGGAAAACGAATTTTGACGCAGACGGATAATGCCAAAAACAAATTTTAAATTGAGAGCAAAGATTGTGAAATTGACATTTCCTCTTTTTCACTTGAGTTATGCCGGACTAACAAAGAGTCATTTTACTGTCATTAAAATAATCATTTACAATACAAATCTTGACCTGTTACCCTCCGTAGACGGTTACTTCATCTAGTATAGATATATACATACATCATGAGTTGAATTCTGATAAGCGTCTCTATATTTTGCCCTTTTCCAGACGAAGTAATAAACATTGTAGTCATCGAATTTTATATGCAGTCTAAAATCACTGTACGTGTCAATTTTTTGTGACATTTACGGAGGTTTGCACATTTTGTTGCTGAAAGTAATGAAAGGATTTTTGCGTTTATATCTATCTATCTATCTATCTATCTATCTATCTATCTATCTATCTATCTATATATATATATATATATATATATATATATATATATATCAAAAGGTCAGTTATTGATTAGACAGTCTGCGCCAGTTATTTGAGAATATGCTTTCTGCGGACCATAAATGGAAGAGGAATTAGTGTAATATTGAGTGACATATGTCATTTTTTTAACATTATTCATAATAAATTTCCGTTACTTACATTCGCAATAATCTCCTCATCTTTGTTGTTGTTTATCAGATCGCTTCGTCCATTGTACTATCCACCCTTCTGCCGATCCATTTCTGAAGAAGGCCGAAGGGCTCAATGATTGAAACCTCAATACCCAAATGTAAATAATGATAATTCCTCATTCCAGAAATTCAAACAGCAAACTCAGGGTAGCCACCCTTTGCTACGTCAGAGCGGGAAACAGCAACGATATCTCAAGGAATACTTTGGTACCTCTACATTGCAGCTATAAACCAAGAAATGAGTCTGGGGCATTTTCTACAGAGACTGCAGATGTTAGAGCAAACAAAATTTCAAAAGTGTGCGCCAGTTATTTGAGAACATATTTCCATAGGGGCCATACGGCTATTAAATGCTGAACGTCTTGTGGCAAATTGTTGACATATATCCAAAATAGATTTCCATTATTTCCATCCTTATTCATGTCATCATATTTGTCGTTGTAACCACAATGTTGCAAGCATTGTGAGCCCCACCCCCACCCCGATCTTCTTCAAACATGGATTAACAGACACCAGAAGGAGGTCAGATGGCGCAAAAGCCGAAAGGTTGTGATAATAACAAGAAAGATGGGGATATTTCTACGAACGTATATAATAAGTACATGTATGATTATAGCAGAATTGATGATGACTGCCGTTGACAGACCGTTGTGGAGGACATTCAGTGTGGCTTCTAAATTCAGACCCCTCCTACGATTACAAAAGTCAAGGGGACGATAATGATAGTGCTGATGATGATGATGTACGATTTACGATAAATGTCCTATAATTGGATTTGGAATAAAGTAGCGAGGGTAACGTACACTGAATCCATCATAAAAAATAAAAAAAAATTCATAATTTGGAATTAATCGATTCTAGATATTTCAAATACATCGTAGAACGTAGATTTATGGATAATTTTTTTTCTTACAATGATGTTCACCCTCTACAAGGCCTGAGCGCCACTCGAGGTAGAGGGTTACAGAGTAAGAGGCATCATCCTAAGCAAGGAGATAATACTGACAAAACGCAAGGGACCACCAAAAGTGAAAGAGAAGGAAAAGGTTTTAGAAGGACCCAGAAACCCAATCCTAAACAAGAAAAAAGAGATAAACCTTTACTCCTGTTCAAAAGACCAGGGAGGAGTATGAACCGGACGATAGGTGAACCTACCTACTACTATTGGTTGCAGAACAATAAGACAAATAAGAAAATGAAAGGATCGACATACATCTGGTGAAGGCAGAAAGACACAATGGCCAAAATGTTGTGATAAAAACAACAAAGATAAGGACAATAGTCAGCATGTAAATAATACAAATAAGAAAATAGACATATGAACTCAACATTTTCTTTTTTTAAATCTAAAGTAACAGAGAGATTTTGGGACATGAAAATAGTTGTGAATGATGAACAATTTAAGGATGGACATAAAAAATGTTTTTTGTTTCATTTGAAATCAAGAAAATAAAAACTTAATGGAAAATAAAAATGAAAAAAAAAGAAGTTGTCAGTTTAAACTGATGCCAAGAGGATATAGGCTTTTGTCTTTCACTACATTTTGTCTGTCGTTAAATCCAGTCAGGCTTATGGCCATAGTTGTAAGAAATTTAGTATAGAAAATAAGGAAATTGAACACACTAGGGGTAATTTTGTCCAACAAATCCAAAATATTCACCTAAAAACTCGTTCCATATTCTTAAATAGAAAATAGTCTAACAGTCAAATTTAGACTCTAATAAGGATGTCATGGCTGGAGTTCCAGTCATTCTGAAATTTCTAAACTAACTTCTCTATGCAACCGTTTTCTCATATCAATGATTTAAAATGATTTCTCGCGAATAAATCCTTTAATTTAATTCTTAGGTGATCATAGTTTTCCACATCTTCCCTTTTTCTTGAATATTCGCAAACTGTTCATTGACATGAATATTCTGGAGAATGGTAATGGTTTTCTGTTGCCTTATCCACAATTTTTTTTCCTTTTAGATTAGTGTTGTGGCCTTATAAGGTCCAGAAATAAAGACACAAGAGATGAGGTGTGTTAAACAAATATATTAACAGAAACAGTAATACAAACATATACAAACGAGAGTGTTACAGCAAAATTGTTCGGTCCGACTGTCAGAGCTGACTGCTGGAAACTTCCCTCTCCTGCTCCTATTTATAGCTGGGAGAGTCCATGCGTGCATGGGTAAATTACGATAACAATTAGTTATCAATAAAGGCTAGACAGTTCAATCTGATCTATTATTATACCCTTAGCTGGTGCCAGGCGACGGAGGAGAAATCGGTACATGCCTTTCCTAGGGGCATTTAATGCCAAGCGTCTGCGAATTGTCACAGTTGGAATTTGAACTCGCCACTCTGCTTACCGTTTACTCACATCACAGGTGCCGGGCAATAAATCCAGCCCTTCCCGGATGGGAGGTACTGCCGATGGCGAGGGCGCTGGGACTTGCGTTTAATATTATTTGAAACATCCCCGGCAGAAGCATTTGCCTACACCAGGTAAGTGAATTTTTTGCCCACAGTGACACAAGGTCAGTTTAAATTCGTAGAAAAATTACGCCCCCCGCCCTCGGCATTTCCCCTTTTAAGAACGCCTCAGGCCAATAAACCCAGCCCTCCTGTATTGTTTTGGGTATGACCTTAATATTATTTGAAACTTCCCTACCAAAAGCGCCAGTCGTGAAAGACGAGTCAAAAGTGAATAATATTTCAAGAAGATCTCTTTAGCATTTATTCACATGCATTTCAAATACCGTGACTTTTACTTGTTTGTTCAACCGAAATGTCTGAAGGAGATGTGCTGAAACTGGTGTTTGTCTGTTAAGAAGTAAAACTGGGACATTAACAAAACACCACAATCTCAATTGGGCATAGTGGTGTAGTGGATAGCCGAGTTCAAATTCTAGTCGAGTTCGTTACATTTACTTACTAAAGGGAAAGGTATGAATCCATCTCTTCCCCCGTTCCTTAGAGCTATGGCTAAATAACAAGACAATTGGGTCCTTTAGCCTTGTATGGCAACCGGTCTATAAGGAGAACAACTCAAAATCCGGGGAGGTTCGTTTGGAAACTACATAATCTGTGGTCTTCGACTCTCGGCCAAGAGCTGAGAGTGGAGATGAGCGCCGCCAAATTAGCTGAAAACTTACTGAAATGATCACGAGGGAGAAGAATCAAAGTAACACCATGACGGTAGAAGTTGTCTTTTTTCTTCTGGCCACAACCACCCCACCGCCAGTCTGCCCGCTCGACAATTGAGGGAGTCGAGGGAATGATGATCTCAGCATTAGTATTGGTCGACAAGATTAGATTTGTCGAATATTGATCTATAAAGGACACCGACTATACAAAAAGGCACAACCCAGAGGCATATACAAGGTATCATCCAAAAATATGACAAAGTTTACTGTAAAAAATAATGAGGACGTTGTATGATAGACACCATGACCAGAAACAATCAGTTTCTTATCTATTTATTCTCAGGGGAAACATTGGTTGAAAGCATTGCTTGGAAGTGATCTAGTGACTTGAACCGAAGAGTTGTGAGTTCAATACCTGGCCACATCAGCAGGGAACAAAAACTTGGAGAGTTGACTTATTAAAAGGGAAATAACTGAAACTGAGATATCCAAAAGAGGCACGGCACATGGAACTAGAACATTCTCCTCCGGTGGACGAAATAAAGGATTCAGATCGAAATTTCAATTACCTAAATAAGGCCGGAGCGTACAACGGCCGAAACGTTGTGAATATGGCATCAAAGATGAAGCAGTCCGAATATTATAAATAGTGCAAATAATTGCAATACCTCATTTCAGAAATATAGGCAGATATTCTTCGTCTTTGTAATTTATTTATAATTTATTTATTCCCCCACATCGTTCCGGCCTTGCATCTTCCAACCACAGCGCTATAAGTATCCTGTGTGGCATCAGACCCACCCCAACTTTTTCTTGGAACTGTTGTTCGCTCCCCTTAATAGTATTTTTTTCTCATATTCTTTAACATTCAGTAACCCTCCCCCTTACGTCTTAGTAGTGTTGTTTCCTTCCTTGGGTTTAAATGAGAGAAGAAAACCCAAAAAAAACTGAGAATTAAGCAGTAAGCCAAGGTAGACGGTTACTGAATATGATTTACAATGGACGTAAGAGGATGATGTAAGCGCAGATTATGATTGGTTGATTTTGTTGAGCGGCATATCAACATTTAATGCCGAATTCTAAATATTCAGTACGCAATTTTATTTCATGGAGACAATAATGATTTTAGTGATATAAATCTTACTAATTAACCCTTATCTTTCCCAAGGGGTATTTGCACTTAAGTGAATATAACGAACCCAACCGGAATCGGAACTCCGCTCTTAATAATTAACAATTCCAAGCCATTATCCAGTACAACGCCTGCACGTACAAGCTTACAGCACCTGTTATTCCCAAGTGGTCACCCATCTAGGTTCTGACGTGGCCCGACTTTGCTTAACTTCGGTGATCGTACGGGAACCAGAGTTTCAACATGATGTGACCGTAAGTTGATTATAAAGATATGCAGGATAGATAAAGGATTGATTTTTGACTTGAAGCGGTCCAGATATGTAGTGATTGGCGGGTGGTCATCCTCTCAGGGGGCAGTCTCACAAATTAATGCTTTACGGGAGAAAAACTGTGTTATTGGATCTTCCTACCGATGGAATACGAATGAATTGCGGATGATTCAATTCTGTGTATGTGACGTGGTGGATTCCAGCTGTAATGGTCTGCATTGGTGCAGTTAAGTAATTTTGCGTGTGTGCGCGCGTGCAGTCGACTAAAAAGGAAACTTAAAACTAAAAAGGAAACTTAAAAACGAAAATACACGCTAATCAATAATATATATTGAGGCAAGTCTATATTTTTATAAACAAAATCACATTCAGTCCTTACAACCATTTGTATAAGGATGGCTGTCTTGATTTAATAAAAATATAGATTCAATTATTTTTAAGTGATAGTTGGAATGCGATCAACATAAATTTGAAAATATGTCCTCTTGGAGGAATGATGCACAACCCTGTATCCTTTTTAAGTCAGTATGCACAAGAAAGTTTACCTTCCTTGATCAAGTTCTGACGATTGAGGAGCGATAACCGGTTAATTCATTCTGTATGATTTTTGTTGTTCTCATTTTTTGCTTTTCTTTTGTGTTCTTAATTTTATATTGCCAACTACCACAGTTGAAATTTTCCTTTTTTGTTTCTCTTTAATTATGTCTGCTTCTATTGCTTTAAATTTTGTTACTCTAATAAGATCATCAAGATGTCTGTAAGTTACATAAGAATAGTTTCAGTGACTTTTAATTGATAATTAGAATGTCATCCTCACACAGGTGAAGGACGATGCACACATCTGATATTCTAGATCCGGATGCAACGGTACACTTATGCAAATTATCTAGAAACCGAGACATGCTTTTTTTGTTTTTGTTTTCATTGTTTTGTTTTGTTTTGTTTTTGTTTTTCATCGGTTGTACACCAAATGACTTCTTAATTTATCTTAAAGTACTTGAAACTATTTACATTAAATCAAGACAACCTCCCTTAGCAAAACAGAAGGATCGATTGTTAGCACTGGATGTGATCTGTTGATAAAAAATAGAATATTATTTATCTGCGGTATTTTTGTTTCCAAGTTTCCTTTTTAGTCGATTGCGCACCGCCAACCCTCAAAATTACTTTCCCCGATCGAGTTCTGATGATTGAAGAGCGATAACCGGTTAGCCCATTCTCTTGTTATATTTTACTATTATTATTATTATTATTATTATTATTTCCTTTTATTTCTGATGTGTACTCATTTCTTTCCACGTCCCGCTCAGTGACCTAAGATTAGAAATGGCATCATGACATTTTCCACTGAAAAAAAAAATTACATAGACTAAGCCCTTCGTAAGGTGTGGGCTGTACTCATGAGAACTATTTTTTGTATTTCTTTAAGTCATGGGCTTCTAGGAATCCCTTCAGTTTGTCTACTGGAATCTTTTCCAATCAATCCTAGGGCTCCAACTACCAAAGGGGTTGTTGATGTTCCCATGTGCCACATTTTTGAGACTTCGATTTCATTATTATTAGCATTGTTAATTCTATTATTATTATTATTATTGTTGTTGTTTTTATTTCCTTTGATTTCTGGCGTGTCCACATTTCTTTCCGAGTCCAGCCCAGAGACCTAAGGTTAGAAATGGCATCATGAGACTTTCCACTGAAAAAAAAAATTACATAGATAAAGCTCCTCGTAAAGTGTTGGTTGTACTTGTGAGAACAATTTTTTGTATCTCTTTGAGGCATGGACTTCCAGTAATCCCTTCAATTTGTCTACTGGGATCTTTTCCAACCAATCCGAGGGCTCCAACTACAACAGGGATTGTTGATGTTCCCATGTACCACATTTTTAAGTTTTAGATTTATCCCCTTTGAGTTCTGTTGTATACTCATTTCTTCGCTCCCCCAAGCAGAGACCTACATCCAGAAATGGCATCATGACAATTTCACTAAACACTTTTGTAAAAAAAAAAAAAAAAAAAGAAAAGAAAAAAATAAGAACCTTAGAACACATTTTACATTGATAAGTTCCTTCGTAAGGTGTAAGCTGTACTTGTGAGAACATTTTTTGTGTTTTTTGGATCCCTTCAATGAAATTATCAGAACCCTTTCTAATCAATCCGAGGAGTCCAGCCACAACTGGAATCACTGATGTCTTTATATACCCCATTTTTTTTTAATTTACGCGCCAACATCCTTATCTTTTTTTTTTTATAGTTTTTATAAGATTTTCAAAGATGCATCAGAGTCTGTAGGAACTGCCGTCAATATGAATATTTCAATATGAAAACACATACTGTCTTTGTGGTCTTTGATCAAAATAGCTTTGATTGTCCTGTTTATATGTATTGTAAAGTGTCATAAAATTGTTACTGGTTCTGTGTCCGTAAACGGGTCTGGGTGGTGTTCATACCAATTTCTTGCAGTTTCCTTCCCGCAAAAGTTCTAGATTTTCCATTGCATTGCCCACTCTGTTGTACCGTCTTTTATATTCAGTCGCAGCTAATAACGAGCAACCTGATACAAGATGGTCAATTGTTTCCGGATATCTATCACAGAATCTGCATTTCTGGTTAACACAAATTTTCAGTATGTTTGCTTGGTAATTTCTAGTCAGCAAGCATTGGTCCCGTGCAGCAAAAATAAAACATCCAGTTTCATCTTTTAATCTTGCACAACGTAACCATTGATGAGCATGGGGTTTGTATATATCACATTGTTTGGAACAGGCAAAGTACTGACCATGAAGACGTTTATCTTACTGTGTTTTCTGTATCTGGTCAGTTGAATTTACTTTTGCCTTCTTTTTAAGTTCTTTGCCGCTGCAGTAGATTTATTATGGTTTACTTGCACTTCTTCACCCACTTGAAATTCCATCTTTCATTTGTTGGCTTCCCTTATTACTGAATAAAGTTTCTTTCTTCTTTCATGTTCTTTGACACAGATTTTCATCCAGGCTTCTTTAGCTTCTAGGTATCTTTGAAGACCGATTGTTGTAGTTTTTTAAGACAGTTCTAGTTGAACTAATCCTCTGCCTCTTTCGGTTCAGTTCACACACAGTCGGTCAAAATCGGCCTTAGGATGATGGATGCGGTGGCAAGTGAGAAGCTTTCTCGTTTTGACATCTATTCAGTAAATGTTAGGTATGGTCCAGTTAAGGATGCTGAAGCTGTATTGCACCACAGGGATAATCAAAGTGTTTATGGTTGATATTCTGTTTTGTGATTTCAATTCGGTATTTAATACCAGATGCACCCGCCCGAGGTAATCTTTTCTTACTTTCTCTTTTATTTGGTTATGCTGTATTCCGTTTTGTTCTCTGGCATCTAGGTAGTTATAGAATTCTTCTGGTTCCTGTCTTTTAATCTTTGTGACAAAATCTAGATCTGTTAAGTATGTTTCTCTAATTCTTCCTTTCTTGAACGTTACTTTTCTCTTTCTTATCGCTTTTTTTTTTCCTTTTTATCCCATTTAATTATGTCTGGAGTATTGAATTTAGAAACAAAAGATCTACTTTCTACAATCAATGAATAAACGAGAGACTTGTTTTTTTTTTTTAATTCAATTCCTGTCCCATATTTACACTTCATTCATCATTTTCATAAGCTTCCGCTGAAATTTCCACAGATTAAACACCGTCGACTGTATACTTTGTCTTCATCTTTGAGTTTTGACAAAGAAATGACGTAAAATAATTACTTTTCACCAAACAACGCTCAATAAAAAGCTGAGTCAAGACACGTCTAAGATTTCCCTGATATATAAGTAATGATTTTCACTTAAGGCATTCGAATCATAATATATGCTTCACACAAACTTAATAAACGCAAGTTTGTTTTTCAACAGAAAACCTGCTTGCACCTACTGCACCTACAGAGGTAAGCTTCAATTATACAATACCTGTCTTTTGCGACAATTTTAGGTAAATTAAATATGAATGAAAAAAAAAACAGGTTCAAATGTGCGTTTGCTGCTCAGTCATTGTTCTCGTCAAAATAAAGTAAAACGCCTCTTTCAAAGTATGCACGCAAAATCAATAAAAGAGGAGTAAAATTTAAAGACACTTCGAAGACTTCCTTATATAGAAAATGGTGCCGAGAAGTTAATAATTAATAAAAGTGTTAACTGGGAAATTGAAAAAAATTAACTAGAATCACACAACAGAAGAATTGTAAAGTTTCCCGAAGAAAATTCTACTTGTTTAAAGAATTTTACTCTTTCTCCGACAAAGATAATTCTCGCTTAACTTTCTGAAAATCGACTGCAATTCAACTGTTATTCGACTGCAATACAGCAACGATTTTCAATAATATATTAGTAACTTTGCGCTGCACTTTCTCCTTAGATTAAACGGTAAAAAAATGTTTTCAATGTGTTTTCTATATTCTGTGATGATGTTTACCAAAATAGAATATCTCATTGTCTTCATATCTATCTATCTATCTATCTATCTCTCTCTCTCTCTCTCTCTATATATATATATATATATATATATATATATATATATATATATAATTATCTATCTATCTATCTATCTATCTATCTATCTATCTCTCTCTCTCTCTCTATATATATATATATATATATATATATAATTAACTTCATATCTATCTATCTATCTATCTATCTATCTATCTATCTATCTATCTATCTCGTTCTCTTCATATCTATCTATATCCTTGTTCAAATTAATTGAAACAACTGATTTAGTTTCCTTTCTTTCACCATACGGTCAGTTTTAGACCCAATGGAGTGACAGGGTGTAATCAATTTCTATTTTTGCCTCAGATCGGGTCATTTGCAGTGGAAGGTAGTAATATGAATATATTTTCGGGTGTATGATGAAATTTATTTGGCCTTAAAAATATTGCGTCATCTGTGATTGTTTCATATTTTTATCACGCCCGGACACTATTGTCTCTACTGTCGATTAGTTGTCCTACGGCTATTGTCTGCGATGGACGTTACTCCAAGGAAGCGTACGAAAGTTTTTAACGCTGCACCAACACACTAGCAAGCCTTATCAGTAAGCAAATCAAAGTACTATAGACTGACGCGGAAACTCTCCTGATGTAAATCCAATCGAGAATCTGTGGTCGGTCTGCAAGGAAAGACTTTGTGGAATGGACGTACGAAGTACTAACATGTGCACTGGGTCATGTTTCATTGGGAAAATACGATAAGTAAATAATAACGGAATTATTCGTTTTGTTTCAATTAATTTACAGAAGGGTGTATCTATCTATCTATCTATCGATTCATTTCTTTTTCTGAAATGTTTGATCACCAATAATCACTGATAATATCCGTTTTAATTGTGTTTCCTTTCGTAAGAAATAATTCTATCTCATTATGTTTGGTTTCGAAGGAGATTAAATTCCTGTTGAAAAAAAAAGAAGAAAAAAGTGGTTTATTTAGGGTTGATATTATATTCTAAATATCAAATTCAACTTTAAAAAAAAACCTGTCGGGAAACATTCTTTTTATGTATGATGAAATAAACACGATAATAAATAGAAATGCTGGTTACAAATTTCAAATAAAAGCAAAATACATATTTTATAAGACTCAAAAGTAATTCATTTTTTTTTCTCTACAGTTGTGTTATTATCAAATTCACCAGTTAAATGCCTTTAGGTAAAAATATTTTAAACGTGGCCTCACTCTGTCTTTTCTACAAATATTTTCATGACAATCGTTTTGATGAGTTTTTTTCTCCTTGGTACCTAGATTGCATGAATTTAAATTTCTGAACCTGACATTAATGTAAAAGTAGGTTATAGCCAAACTGCTGTTATGAATTTCGAAAAACTCAAGAAGATTTAGCGACAAGTAGAGATGTCCAATGAAGATCAATGCCAAAGATGACTATTTCATTAAGCACATTGCTGTACGATCTCCAAGAAGAAGCTACAATAAGAAGCTCCATGTTCCTCTGTTACAAAATGGTTACAAATTCTAATTCTATGACAGTTTCACGTCGTCTGTGATTTGAATTTACTTTTAAATCATTCAAAGCGGCTCGCAAACGACAACTAATCCAAGTTTCGGGCAACGTGGAACCTGAGCAGCTGAAAACTGGAACAAATTTATGTTTTCATGTCAATTCACTCTTCTTACATTTCCTTATGTGCAATTATCAGACCCCATGGAAGGAGATTTGATGAAAAGTACACAATTCAAAGTATGAAGTTCGCAGCAAGTTAGATGATTTGAGGCGCCATGCGCAAATCGAGAAACAGCTTGACTATGCTTGTTGCCTCCAGGAAAAGCGATAAACGTACTACTAGATTGGCAGTTAAGTCTCGCCGTTTTACTGTTGAACGAGCGAGATGTAACCGTATGTTCTCTTCTTCTCACCTGTAGGACTCTCTTCCGGTTTCTTGCTTCCCTGCAACGTATGATCTTCAAAAATTCTTCCATGAATCTGTTCTTTTATTGTCCTCTCTCCTCGCTAGGATCTTCTTGTTCTCTATCACTCCCAGTAACTAGAGAACAGCAACGAATAACCTAAATAGCGACCGTGTGTAAATGGTTAGCAGAACAAAGAGTAAGAGAGATAGCAAAAAGACAAAATTTACCAAGAACTACGAAGAATAGGAAATTGAGAGGAGCCATGATCACCCTCATCCTGAAGGGATACGTCAAATAGACGAAGTCATTCCAGGCTCTGGTATCAAGATATAAAAACGTCGAGTAAAGTTATGTCATGCAGAGTTTTGAATTATACTGGCATTTTATAGCCAGTATAATTGAAAACTCTGATGAAAAGTTCTCAGCTCGACCAAGAAGGGTTTAAAAATTGTTTTGCGATTAGGTCTTGTAGAGAATTTTTTTAACCACCTGTTTAATATACACTATTTACATTATTCGGACTATCATCCTCATCTTTGTCGACATATTTATTACAACATTTCGGCCGTTGTGCGCTCTGGCCTTCTTCAGGTGGTTGGAATGTCGAACTGAACCCTTTATTTCGCTCAGTGATAGAATGTTCTAGTTGCACGTGCCATGTTTAATGGATGTCAGTTATCTCTTGTTAATTCCCCTCTCCAAGTTCTCTACTGCCTTAAACAGGTATTGAACTCACACACTTTGCGCCCTGTCAATGGAGGACACATGGCACAGTGGATAAAGGCGTTGGTTAGATCCAGTGACTGGATCCAGAGAGTGTGAGTTCAATATGATTATGATCATTTTCCTTTTTATTCTAAAGCAAAAAAGATGTTTATACGTATGATCTCGCCAATGGTTCAAAATTGTTGAAAACGTCACCTTTAACGAGAGGTTAAAAAATCCAATAAAACATTGGGTTTAATCATGTTTACATATATGTTCATGTATGAGAGACAGTGTGAGTGAACAAGTGAGAACGAAACAAAAAACAAAATTTTAATAAACATTATTTTCCTTATGAAATTAGGAGTGCCATCCAGAAAACCAAATGGGACTGTTACAGCCCGCGGGCCATAGTATGCCTATGGCTATTCTATATGAAAGGGAAAAATTGCGGACTGTTGGTGATTTTCGACTAGCGTAAATAACCATATATAATGGCTGTCCGTTCCTTTCTCGGAATTTTGTTTCTGCTCTGTTAGCGGAAGGAACGCATTACTTATGACCAAACGCTAAATCTTGATCCGTGTTCTTGACTTAACCTGACCTTTTCTTTCCAATAATTCTGCAAGTGTTTGGGGGCAAATACCAGCGAATACCTGGTCACATTTCTGGAACAATTCAGAGAGCTTTGAGATCGCCGTCAGCAATTTGGGAGATTAACCACAACACTGTCATGAAATGTCTAGAATCGATTGTATTCCTTCTTTTTCGTTTACGTTTTCTTTTCACGGTCAATGCTGGGTTGACCAACTAAATCCGATTGACTCTGAGGGGAAGTTACAGACATGCACAGGAGCACAAGGACGTGCTCATCGGATCTCTGGCCTTCAACTAGATTTCTGGCTTGGTCTAAGTTGTGAAAAAGGAAGCAAAATAACGCATAAGAAACAATAGGCATATGTTGTTTAGTTTTCAGGAATTTGCGTTTCGATTCGTCGAATTCACTGGATATACTCTTTGATCTTTTTGGCGTAACTGTTATTGGCGATTTACTGAGCGTAGCTTAGATGTGTCTCAAGGCCAAAAGAATGGATCTTGACGTAACTGTTAATGAAATCAAGAATTACTGTTGCTGATTCTTTTTTTATTTCTCTTGCTCTTTTTATCCAATATCTTCTTCTTCTTCTTCTTCTTCTTCTTCTTCTTCTTCTTCTTCCTCCTCCTCCTCCGCCTCCTTCTTCTTCTCTTCTTCTCTTCTCCCTCCTACTCCTCTTCCTACTCCTACTCCTCCTTCTTCTTCTTCTTCTTCTTCTTCTTCTTCTTCTTCACTATCGTTCTGTAATTATTTTATTTTCCATAAAATTCTTTCGCTTTTTTTCTCTTTTACACAAATGATTAATACTAAATATTTTCCCAATTCGTTTTCTTCTTCACGCTCTTTTTAACGCCATGTTTCTTTCACTTCTCACTATTGATCAATTAGTGATATTATTTTACATTCTTTTTCTTCTTCTCACTAGATTGTTTCTTACTTTTCTTTAATTCTTCCTACTGACCTCTTCTTCCTACTTTTTAGATTTTATTATTCTTTTGAACTTTTTTCTTCTTCCGCGGTTGTATTTTTTCCCCTTTTTTCTGACTACATTTTCTTTATCTCACTCTTTTTCTATCACCTTTCCTTTCTTCATACCATTGTCGACTTCTTGATTTTCTGTTTTAGTTTTTTCTATATTATTCTTTCTGTTTTTTTTTCATTCACTATTGTTCGTTTTCTTTCTTTTTCTGTCTCCTTTTCTTCTTCTTACTCTTCTTCTTCTTTTTATTTCTCCTTAGCGTTGTCCATTTTCTTATTTTTCTATTTTCATTTTCTCTCTTTTATACTGTCAGCTTTCTTTTTCTTTGATTTCTTTTCCGTTTCCCTTTTCTTTTCCTCATTCTTTTGTCTTGTTTTTCCTTTCTTAGCATTTTCCATTTTCTTGTTTTTTTTCTGTTTTCATATTCTCTCTTTTATTTTTTCTATATTTGCTTCATAATTCGTCTTTCGTTTCTTTTTCCGTCTCGATTTTTCTTCTCATTCTTTCCTCATGCTTTTTCTTTCTTCTTAGCATTTTCCATTTTCTTGTTTTTCTGTTTTCATTTCCTCGCCTTTCCTTTCTTCTTAGCATTGTTCGTTTCCTTGCTCTTTTATTTTCATTTTCTCTCTTTTATTCTTTCACAATTGTTCGTTTCCTTTTGTCTTGTTCCGTCTCCATTCTCTTCTAAATTTTTTTCTCGTTTTTTTTTCTTCGTACCTTTTTTCTCTTCTTGATTTTTCTTTTTTTTTTCTGTTTTATTCTTTCGGCTTTTCTTTATTTCTTCTTCATTTTCTTCTTCTCACCTTTTTCTTTCTCAGTATTCTGTTGCTTTTGTTTTTCTCATTTTTCTTTTACTTTTCTTCTTTTCGCTTTTCTTCTGTCTATTACCCTGTTTTTTTACTTCTTTTCATTTCCATTCCACTCTTTTTTGTCTTTTGGCTTTTCTTTTCTTCTCTCTTTCATTCTGAATTCCCATTTTTTTTAATAACATTCTTCTTTATTTGTTCCTCACTTTTTTCTTCTTTTCGCCATTCTTTTTCTTATCCGTTTCATTTTGTCTTCTCGCCATTTTCTTTTTCTTCTCAGTTTCCATTTCCTTCTCACTTTTGTTCTGCTGTTATTTAGTTTTTCTTTTCTTCGCTTCGTTTCTCTTTTGAACTTTCTCATTATTCTGTTCTTTTTCTTCGCACTTTTTTCCAGTGTGATCATTTTCTATCAATCTATCTGTCTGTCTATCTATCTATCTATCTCTGTACATTATCTATCTTTCTTTCTATCTAGCAAATTATATAAGTGTGGTCATTTTCTTTCTTTATATCTATCTATCTATCTCAGTCTGTACATTATCTATCTTTCTTTCTATCAAGCTAAGTGTGATCATTTTCTATCAATCAGTCTATCATTCTATCTATCTCTGTATATTATTTATCTTTCTTTCTATCAAGTTATCTAAGTGTGGTCATTTTCTATCTATCAATTTATCTATCTGTCTATCCATCTATTTCTGTACATTATCTTTATTCCTATCTATCAAGTTATCTAAGTGTGGTCATTTTCTATCTATCTATCTATCTAGCATATAGGAAAAAAATGTTGATGCCGACACTTGGGTTTGTACACGGATCACCAGAGAGCAAGCACAGTCGACCTCATCTTGAAATAATTAGATCACGTGACGGGTAAATGAAAAAAAAAATATATATATATATGCGCTTTAGCAGCATCTGACCGAATATTGTTCGAAGACGTTGTTTTTTAGTCAATAAGAACCAGCGCTGTGCCTTGATTTCGCTAATATCCACCGAAAGACGAATTTGGACTATACGTTAAGTGTTTTTTCATTTTATATTTCTGTTACCTTTGAACCTTTTTTTATTTTATTTTCAGTTTGTCTATCATTGTGTATTTGTAAACTATAATTTTTAGTGTATTTTCTTTTTGTGTTTTACCCGACTCCCGTTTTTCATTCATTTTTATTTACGTCTGAATTGTTTTTGGCAAGTTAAGTTTGTTAATTCCGTTTAGTTTTGGTTATTCATCTCGGGCACTAGTCCGTTTTTCTTTCTTTGTTATGAAAATACTCCATCGAGTGCACAGGGTCGCCTCGTCAGTGATGTTATGACTTGGGGTCATGACAAGTTTCGGGGCTTGCAACATCATACTTGTTCACCCAAGAGTCCCTACCGAAACAGTATGATTCCGGCAGGCGATCCTGAAGCAAAAAATCCGCCAAGAACGCAACAAATGGACGCATTAAGTAACTGCCATTGGTGATCTTGAAATTACAAGCGACCAATCATTAACGATCTACGCCATTTCCTCCTCAGCCAAGACGATACAAAAAGAGAATAGACAGCATGCTCGTTTTTTTTTTTTTGCTTTTTTTTTCCATCTTAGGTCCACCACGCGGAAAGACCCACATTCTCAACGGGCAGTTTGATATAACACTTAAGTAATGGCAAGAAAAGTTTCCTTTTCTAAGAAGCGTTGCTTAAAAAAAAAAAAAAAGGAAAAAATTTTTAAAAAATTCTTTTCGTTTAAATGTTCTTTAGTTGTTGTTTTGTTTTGTGGAATGTTATATTTGAGTGAACTTTAAAAAGAAATTGTATCACCGTTGTGATAGTGCCTGTATTATTATGGCGGATCTGACCCAATCAACACTTGTGCATGACGAAGAGGGTTTTGCCTCTAAAAAAAAAACAGCCTGGACTTAAAACAGGCCCAAAAAGATACTGCGTACTATACAAAATTGCAAAAGAAGTATGAAAGGTTTACAAAGGAAAACGAGTTCTTTACAACACTTGACCTGAACGCAGTAAATACGAGGGCAATTTCCCTGTGGACGACCGACGCAAAAAGTCGGAATTTAATTGGTGCCGCCAAGAAACTGTTGTGGTAAATTAGAATGAACTCTTCCGCCTTCATAAATACTAACCTGCAGAGGCAGTCGAAACGTAGTGTAACCTGATAGTTCGGACGGACATTTCTATCTGCTGACTAATAACACTCTTACTTTTTATATATCTGTTATTTCAATACACTTGTTCAACCTACCTTCTTCTTTACGTGTCTTTCTTTCTGGCCCCTAACAGGCCATAACAGAAACAATGGAGGAAGTTCTCAAGAACTTAAAAATTGGAGCCAAAGTATTGGCCAGAAGATCCAAGGCCATGTGGAACGTCCTTCTGGCAACCGAGCAAGAATCCAAGCAGTTGGCCGGAAGTATTTTAACTTCCATGACACTTCGGATACAAACTGAATACATGGGCACCCGAAGTGACAGTTTATGGGGTGTCCGTAGACATAACAGAGGATCGAATAGGGCCTTTTTTGCCCAATACGGAAAAGTAGAGGAGTTCGCGGGCGTAATTAGCAAAGGTGGTATTGCTACTGACGACATTGCCATTGAAATAACGTTGATACACAGAAGCCTTAATGGCATCAACAACTCTCTATGTTGAGAGAAGAGAATGCTGGTAATGGTGGAAGGCCGGCGTCCATATTATTGGCTGTGTGGTGCCTCGGGGTACATGGCGAAGACGTTCCCCGGGAAGAACGGGACGCCACAGCCTCGCACAACAGCAACAGCAACAACAAAAGCAACAGTGGAGGCAGAGTCTAACAAGGCTCCCGACGGTGTCTGGAAAAAGGTGGTGACTAAGGGACGAAAGTCGACAGAAGGCTCCCCGCCCCCGAGAAGGATGTCCCACTGAAGCAGCAACAACCATATAAGGAGCAGCTGGAGGAAAGGCTTCAATAACAGGAACTGACACAACATGGGCAAAAAGGAAAGTTACAACAGAAGTATCAGCAGCAGCAAGAAAAATCACCATAAAAGAGACAAGAAAAGAAGCAACAACAACATCAGAAACACCAAAAACAACAGCATAAAGAGCAACGGTCGGACGAGGACATGGAGGTGGAGGAATTACCTCCACCTAGGTCATCCTCCTTAAAGAGGAGCGGGGAAGAAGAAGAGGAGGAGAAACCAATGAAAAAAGAAAGACGCACCAGACGAAGTAGTGCGGAGAAGGGCATGGGAAAAGCCAGCTCCCCATCCGCTCCTGCTTCGTCGGAAAAGAATAAAGACACTGCCCCAGCAGAAAGGAGCCTCCCCACTTCACTCACTCGAGTTCCGCTTCCACCCACCACTCCAACACCTCCTCACTCGTCCACTTCCACACATCCCCACACAGGGTGGGGAATTGGAGAAGGACCTCTCCGCACAGAAGAAATCCCTCTTGGGTCCTCTGTTCAAGTTAGCCTCTGTCAATGGAAAAAAAGTGGATGACCCTAACAATTTCCCTAGGGGTTATTTCCTATATCAGGGCTACTAGGGAATATTTGAGGGTGTGGACTCATATGTTCGAGGGAAAGGACGCATTTCCCGATATTAGAATGGCCCAAATGGAACACCATAACTGAGAAAACTGCAGGGGTTTTGTTTATGGATGGTCCGTGTGGTTCTCCAGCCCTCATTATACAGGGCATGAAAACTAACGGGACAGTCCGTCGGGGTCCTTACTGCTGTAGATTTCCGTTCAGTCTGTGATTAGGGGAACCAAACTTGAAAAATGTTTCTCAAGTTAGCTAGTTTGAATGTGAGGGGCTTGAGGGATCGGGGTAAGGCTACTTCCGCCTCCTGTCCTTCGGCATAGATGTAGCTGCGATCTAGGAAATATACTTTGTTTGCGAAGGTGATGCTCGTGTGCTGTCTAGCGACTTTGTTGTCTATTCAGCATACGGAGACCAGCAGACCAAATGTGTTTCTCTGCTGGTTAAACGTACCCTAGGTGCGAGGGTGGACCATGACCACATCGATGCGGGGTGGGGGTGATCGTGGCCGATATTGCCGTGAACAATAATTCGTTTCGGGTCGTTGCGGTTTATGTGCCTAACGATCACGGGGAACGTGTCTCGTTTTTTCGGTAGTTAGGGCCGTTCCTGGTTGATTCTTCGTTCTTAGTTTTAGTGGGAGACTGCCATCCTGGATCCCAACATAGACAGGGGAGGGGAGCTAGCGGGAGATCAGTGGGTGATCGTAGCCTGGTTGATCTTACCGGCGAGTTTGGTTTTATCGATTGATACAGGGTCGATCACGCTGGGCGGATCATGTGGACATGGGCACGTCAGTGACCGTCTACCTGGGTAGCTACCTGGATAGAATGTTAGTGTGAAGGACCGATATAAACTTGCTAGATTGTCTCAAGTTCGACTGGTTGTGCTATTCGTCTATTTTCGGATAGCTTTAGATGCTAGGCCTAGTTCAATCTGCCTTACTGCACAGGCGGGACTTCCAAAAACAGCGAATATAGCCAGCGGCTCGCACTAGATAAGGCTAATAAGTTGAAGGCTCTCAATGATAGTCTGTCCCGGACAGGGATTGAAGAGATTTCCTAGAGATAGGTTTAGCTAGGCAGGCTCTTGAGCGGTCGACTAGCGAGCGCTACAAGGATCAGGTAATTAACCAAAATGTTTATCGAAGCTGTGAACATGGGTGTACAATTGCGCTAGGAAGAGATCCGTCGAGGTTCCGATCGATACATTCGTGAAGTCAAAACCCCAGAGAGGCGTACTCTGAGATTGACAACATATGTGAGGCGTTTCGGTAGTCTGTTTACCAAGGAGCTCGGTCCCAGTGGCGATGAGTTTCGCAGCTATTTGGTTGATTTTCCTCGGCTTTCGCCGTCTGAAGCGGCTAGCTGTGAGGGCGAAGTCTACTTGGCATTAAAGAGGGTCGGCAATGGCAAGTCTCCGAGTGTTGATGGCTTACCCTATGAATTCTACTTGAGACTGTCGCACATCTTTGTGCCGATTTTGACTGTCGTGTTCAACAACTGGTTCCGGCAGGAGTCCATCCCTAGTCGGATCACCAGAGGTGTGATCACACTGTTGAAAAAGGGCAAGGATGGAGGGCGGGAACCTAGATGCTTACAGGCCCATAACTCTGCTAAACACAGAGTTCAAGATTTTGGCCAAGATTCTAACGGAGCGTTTGCAATCAATTGCCGAGACTCTGCTGGGACCCGATGAGACTTGTGCTGTGAAGGGCCGAACAATTCAGAGCAACCTACTCCTCCATCGGCCATGTGCCACAATTACTGAATAAATACAATAATAAATATATTGCTTGAATGTGTTACTATTATTGTATCTGTGATTAGGAGAGACTTTTACTATTATTGTATCTGTGAGTAGGAGAGACTTTGTAGTCTCTCCTACAAACGAACATTACAAAAGTGGCGACGAGTATTAGTTGAACTTACACAAGGAAAAAATAAAATCTACGTATCCTACACGTCGTAATAGTAATTCAGTAATATTTACCACTTCCCCAAAGAGACGTCATATTTGCAGGACTTTTGAGAAATAACCTGGCGAAGTTATTCAAAAATTAATCTACAAAATATTCAGCGGAGTACAGCAAAATGGAAGAACTAAAAGATGTCAGGATACAAATGTTGGTGCTACAAAAGCAACAAAAAGAACAACACTTGCAGCAACAAAACAACATGAACAGTAATTACAATTACAACAACAACAGAAGTCTTTTGAATTTTTTACTAAAACTACAGAAGGAAAAACTTCAGATTTATTCACTCCAGATGCTGTTGCTAATTCAATCAGTGAATTTGTATACAATAAAGATGAGGAGATAATTTTTCCAGCTTATTATAGAAGATACAAAGGGACCTTCAAAAGGGACTGTTCACATTGGAATGATGAAAAAAAAAGTTTATTTATTATTCAGGAAATTGTCCCCTGCTGAACATGAAAAATATGTGAATTATATTTTGCCCCCAAAAACAGGTGAGATAAATTTTGATGAAACTGTTTTAATACTATCAAAAATTTTGATGAGAGGAGCTCATTATTTAATACACGATAGCAATGTCTTAACTTTGTAAAGTGCGATGATGAAGATTTTGTCATTTATGCAGGAGTCGTGAATCGAGAATGTGAGAAGTTCAAGTTAAATGAATTAACTCAGGATTTATTTAAATGTCTAATATTCGTACAGGGTTTAACTTCTAATAATGACGCGGAATCCAGAGTACTTTCTAAATTAGAAATGGATCCCAAATTTGCTCTCCAGAAAATAGTGGAAGAGTGTCAACGTATTGTAAATCTAAAACTCGATACCGCAAGGATTGAGGAAAGAGACATTTCACAAGTACATAGCCTCCGACCATCTAAGGGAAAATACTGTAGGCGTTTTTCAACTCCAAACAGAACACTAAAAAAGACAATAAAACCCCCCAATGCCTAATACCTGGCACGGTTGTGGAGGTAAACATTTCAAAAGCAATTGTTTTTTTTCAAGAACATGAAATGTTACGAATGTGGGAGAGTAGGACACAAAAGTACTTGTTGCAGATACAAAAAATGGAAGAAAAATAAAATGTGTTTAAACATGATAAATACATGGAGTAAAGATAAGAAGCATAAAAGGAAAATTAACAAGACTTTGAACGTCTTTAACTGAGTTAGAAACGTCTTTAACTGAGTTAGAAACATCTCAAGAGAGGAAATTTGTTTTTGTGCAAATTAATAATATAAAAATAAACTTCGAACAGGATCTGATATCACTATCATAAATGAACAGACATATAGAAAAATGGGTAAACCCAGTTTAAAGTTGCACATAGAGTTTCAGGAAAGAGATTGAAATTTTGGGGTGAATTTACCTGTAACATTTCTTTTGTTGGAAAAACCAAGAAAGCGGTGGTGTTTGTATTAAAGAATACTGCTAATTTATTTGGAACAGACTGGATTGCATTATTTGATTTTTGGGACCTTCCAATTAACTCTTTTTGCAACAAAATGAATATTGTTGTTATCTCTGTTGCTAATACGGCTGTAAAATTAAAGAATGTATTGAAAAAGAGTTTTCCAGAAGGTCTAGGGACATGCACAAAAACTAAAGCTAAATTTAAATTAAAAGAGAATGTAACACCGACATTTAAGCCAAAAAGAAGTGCACCTTTTGCAGCTTTAGAACCAATTAATAAGGAATTAGATAGACTAGAAAAATTAGGTGTGATTGCAGAAATAGACTATTCCAAATGGGCATCACCAACAGTTTATGTTAAAAAAAGAAATAATAAAATCCGCATATGTTCTGAGTTTTCAATGAGGTTAAATGAAAGTTTAAAACAACATAACTACTTGTTACCAAGTCCAGAGGAAATGTTTACCAAATTAAATGGGGGTAATTTTTTTTCTAAATTGCGCTCGTCAGACGCTTACCTACAAGCACTAGACTATTAACAGTTAACACTCATAGAGGATTATATAAATTCAACCAACTTCCTTTGCATATTCCAACAGATTATGGACACGATGCTTGCCGGTTTGGATTGTGTACAAGCATATTTAGATAATGTACTTATTAAAAGTAAGACCCGAAAGCAACGTACGGAAGATGTAAAAATGTATTTGAGAGAATTAAACAATATGGTTTTAAGATCAGTGAAGGAAAATGCGAATTGTTTATGTCCAGACTTAAATATCTAGGACAAATTATCGATGTAAACGGTAAACGACCGGATCCTTCAAGGGCGAGCGCAATAAAAGACATTCCCGCTCCAATAAATGTAACAAAGTTACAAGCATTTTTAGAGTTTGCTAATTACTATCATATATATGTACCAAACATGCACAAATTAAGAGCACCCTTGAATAACCTGTTTAAGAAATATGTGAAATGAAATTGGACAGATAAATGTCAAAGTGCTTTCGAATAAATCAAAGTCTTAACATCGGATTTGACCCTAAATTAAAGATTGTGGTTGCATCAGATGCAAGTGATTCGGGTATCGGAGCAGTGATACTACACAATGATGACGACGGAACAATTAAACCAACAGATTCAAGATCATTAATTGCAGCTGAAATAAGCTACAGCCAGATTGAAAAGGAAGCATTGGCAATCATATTTGCTATGAAGAAGTTTCATCAATTCATATATAGCAGAGAATTCATACTACAGACAGACCATCGTCCATTATTGTCCATATATGGATCAAAAAAGGATGTCCCCACACATACAGCGAATAGACTGCAGCGCTGGAGAATTATCCTATTGAATTATAATTATAAAATGGAATTTGTAACATCCAAATAATTAAGTCATGCAGACGGATTGTCTAGACTAATATCAAAATTCTGCGAACCACTTAAAGACACAGTAATTGCGGCGATAAGGGCCGAAAATGAAAGTATTATACAATACTGTAAGAAAACTGCCCATAACATTGGCAGAAATAAGAATGGAATCGGAAAAAGACGACTTTATAATGAAAATGAAGAAGCAATTAATATTTAAAGAAAAATATTACTAGAAATAATGTATATTCATTATGTAATTATGTACTTATGCGCGCAGAAAGAATTGCGATACCAGCATAGTTGCAAAAACGTACGGTAAAATAATTTCACATAGGTCATCCAGGAATTTCTAGAATGAAATCTTTAATGAGGTGTTATACTTATTGGCCAAAAATGGATCAAGATATCAAAGATTTAGTGAAATCATGCAGAGGTTTTGCTCAGGCAGTGAAGTCACTGCCTATCAAAATTCAGCCTTGGCCGAAAACCGATATGCCATTGTTCAGAATACATATAGACTTCGCAGGACCATTAAACGGAGCATACTATCTTTGGGAGTCAATAGTTACACTAAATGGCCAGAGATATCAAAATGTAGAAAACCAACTACTCACTATAAATTTCCTACACGAGATTTTTGCAGGGTTCGGTGTTCCTGACTCTATCGTTTCAGATAATGGATCTCAATTCCCGTCTAGTGAATTTAAGTTTTTTTTTTTTAATCATTAGCAATAGAATATATTACAACTCCCCCTTATCACCCAAGATCAAACGGACAGGCGAAACGGTTTGTTGGTACGTTTAAAAGGGTACTAAAAAGTCAAAGGGAGATGAATCAGATGAAGTAATGCTACAACAACTTCTAAGTGTTTTCAGAATAACACCAAACCTGAACACCGTGTCTGGAATGTCGCCTGCAGAGTTGATGCTCGCCAAGAAGATTAAATCCGTTTTTAATAAATTATTACCAGAGCGTAAGGCGAGAGCATCAAGAAATGACAATATATGTAAATACTTCAAACCTGGAAACAAGGTGCTTTTTAAAATGTATCAACGTGTTAAAGAATTCCGGGAAGATGGCGTTATAAAAAAAAACAAAAACGAATCGGCAAAATGACATACAAGGTAGAAGGACAAAGCTGGGAATATAAGTTACACGTTAATCAATTAAAACGCAGATTCAATGACCTAAAAAAGTTTCCAAAAAGAGGTACCTATGGAGATTTTTGTATGATATGTTTGGGGTACCCACGTAATCAGAAATTGTTGAATCCAGGTTTTATGGTAAGAGAAAAAGAATAGCAACAGAATTGCTAAATATTGAACCGAAGCTGAAGAAATACAGACTCCAGAGGAAGTCATCTCAAAAGGGAGGTGTCATATAAGAATAAAGTGTAGCTGCCGACACTTAGGTTTGAACCCGGATCGCTAGAGACCAAGCACAGTCGACATCATCTTTAAATAATTAGATCACGTGGGAATTAGCGGCGTCCGACCGATTATTGTTCGAAGGCGTTACTATTATTGTATCTATGATTTACAAAGTCTCTCCTACAGACGGGCATTACGAAACTATCTGTCCCAGCGTCTTCATATGTATTTCAATGAGTTTATTTATTTATTTACCAATTTATTTATTTATTTATTTATTTATCTATCTATCTATCTGTCTGTCTGTCTGTTTGTCTGTCTATCTATCAATCTCATTCTGTACATTATGTACCTTTCTTTCTAGCTATCAATCTAAGTGTGGTCATTTTCTTTCTTTCTTTCTTTCTTTCTTTCTTTCTTTCTTTCTTTATCTACCTTTCTTTTTATCTATCTATCTATCTATCTATCTATCTATCTATCTATCTATCTGTCTGTCTGTTTGTCTGTCTATCTATCTCATTCTGTACATTATGTACCTTTCTTTCTAGCTATCAATCTAAGTGTGGTCATTTTCTTTCTTTCTTTCTTTCTTTCTTTCTTTCTTTCTCGGTCTGTACATTATCTACCTTTCTTTTTATCTATCTTTTTATCTATCTATCTATCTATCTATCTATCTATCTATCTATCTGTGCAATTTGTTATCTTTAATTAAAAACAAGCTCTGACTACCCCTTCATAACCCTTGTCCCGTTATCATAATCATTATTTCCTTTGAGCATCCCTAGATCCCATATCACCCGAACATCTAAATTTATCGCCTTCCCACATTTCTTCGGAACTGTTCATTCTAAGCAGATCGTCATGATGTCGCGCGAGATGCACACAACACCACCCACATTCCCCGTCCACCCGCTGCAATTGCCGAAAGCGATACGGCGTTATATTATGATTAGGTCCACTCTTCTGTCATTCTATACTACGAGTAATTAACCTAACTGCCTAATTCCTGAACAGTTGAAAAGCTGTAGTATTTCTCTTCAATCGCTTCCTTATTACGAAGTTAAGAAGAAAGCATCCGTAAAATTGGCGCCCACTGCCCATAACTGAGGTTTCTGGACTTGTTACAAATCTGGCAAAATCCTATCAGCGCACATTACAAAACGCGCTCTGTTTTCAGTCTTTCGCGCCGACCCATCTTAAATCTTTTATAATGTCGTTCAAGAGAAACTTGAATCCATGAAAGAAAATTAGAAATATATATATATATATATATGTGTGTGTGTGTGTGTGTGTGCGTGCGTGCGTGCGTTTTGCATAAAAAGCTTGTCTTAAGACAAAAAATATTACGAGAGAAGAAAAAAATGTTTATTTTGCGTTTAAAATGTTGCGTGCGGAGGTAATGGCCGACTATTGAATTAAAACAGAGAACTATCGACTTCCACCAAAGTTTTTTTCCACTTTCAATCTTTTTTTTTTTTTTTTTTTTTAAAAAAAGCATTTTTCTTCCTCTCCGGATCCTTAAATTGACAATGTCGCCAATCGGTCTACCTTTGACAAGCATTTAAGTTTCTTAGCAGTGGCACTAGACTCATACATCGTTTTACTTCTAGTTTCATTGCCAACGTAAGGTGATAAATTACAATAAACATGTACATAATAGAAGGAAAATTAAAATTTCAAAAGCATATTAGCAAAGAAATAAGAAATATTTTAAACTCCCAAACTTCCATGAATATCATTTACATTCAAACTAATACTATCACAACTCTTCAATCGTTTAAACTTCCGGCTTTCTTCAGGTGGATTAAAGTATTGTTTCATGAATTTTGTTAACATAGTAATTAATTCAATATCCGAGAAATTTTCATAGAAAATATTCCTCCAGGAATCGAACCTGTATCCTATACGGAACCGTCATATGGCCTGACGTGCTTTTACCGATTTCGCCACAGAGGAGAGTTTCGGTTAGCAAAGTCGATTTTACTGTTTTTAAACAACAATTCTCTATGAATCTTTTTATAGTTACAAATATTTAAGTAAATGCTCTGTTTATAATAAACAGTATTAACGACATTTACCGGCCTGAACGTAGAAACATAAAAAATGTATTAAAAATAAATGCCGAACTTTGTCCATTTCATAATGTGTTACGTCATTTGTTTACATTTGGATACGCATCGAGCAGATATGAATGTACGAGAGAAAATCATGGAGAATTGTAGTTTACCAACAGTAAAATCGACCTTGCTAACTGAAACGCTCCTCTGTAGCTCAATCGGTAAAAGCATGTCAGGCTATATGACGGTTCTGTATAGGATACAGGTTCGATTCCTGGCGGATGACGCATATTTTCTATGAAAATTTCTCGGACATTTAGGCCGGTAAATGTCGTTAATACTGTTTATTATAAACTGAGCATTTACTTAAATATTTGTATCTATAAAAAGAACGTATAAACATAAAAAAATGTCTTAAAAATATCGTATTTTGTCTACCACCTGACCTTAAAGGTCAGCCTCAGAAGGTCTGAGCCAAAATACATTGTCACTAAAGAGTAACAGTCTGAAACTAATATTTAACAAAGGTAGATGGTTACTGTGTGACGTTGTATGAGTGTAATAAATGGTAAGAACTGAAGTTCTTGGGGCTAAACAGAAAAAATAATGGCTAAGTCCAGAATTTAAGAGGCTGAGATTTAATTAGTGAATAGCATTTCAGAGTTCAGTCGAAGAAATTAGACGTGTTATATGGTAGTAGACTTTAGAAGGAACCGGAAACACAATCTGTAACTGGAAACGAGTGATAAGTTTTTGTATATGTGCTCGTGTGCGTGCGTGCGCCTACGTACGCGCGCATGTGTGTGTGTGCGTGTGCAATCGTTTTTATTGATTTAGACAAAACCAGTTTCAAAATTGCGTATCAAATGGGTAAAAAAGTTAAACCTCGTATGACAGAACGATATAACGGCGCCGTTCGTAGTGGATGAGAGAAGTGCCTTGAAAATGAAATGAAATGCTTAGTATGTTCACGCGTCAAAAATGATAGCAAACAGCTATATAAACACCCACACTAGAGGGGCGGTCTCTCATACATCTTCGCGAGAATGTAGATTCCCACTGTTGAAGAAGATAGAGGTTGTACCAGGATGGTCAGTGATTGGTCAGAATACCTTGTGGGCGTTGTATTCTGACAGTGAAAAATGGCCTTTGGCTGAGTTTTGGATATGTTTTGGTGAATCGCGGGAATTTTGAAGCGTTGATGCACTTCTCATACCCGTGTTCGAGAGACGAGCTAAGACCATACTTGGAGAGACGAAGAGTATTGATTTAAAAAGAAAGATGCTACACATAAAAAGTTTCAATACTGACATGATTTTCAATTTCACTGAAGCAGACGTTAAATAATTTTTTCTTTCTTTACTTTCCCTAAACCAAATTACTTTTCTGTTTTGTGGGAATGGGGCAAGCAAGCTATTACAAATCTATTCTCACATTCAAGCAAGAATGAATAATGAGGGCAGGTCGATTTTGGAATCGTTTTATGGCCCTCAATTTGAAAGTTGGAGTTTTACACAAAATATCTTCTTCCAAATTGTTACCGTTCTTTGAGGAAACGAGTTTGAAGATTAAGTTTAGCTTCAAAATCGTAGCGTTGCAATTTAATTCCGGTGTACAATTTAATTCCAGTGATAGCACAGCCTTATCAAATTTACAAACTACTAAAGCTTCACAAATTGTATATGGACAAGTTACATGGCGCAAGCACATTATTACTAAATCATTGCGCTATCAGATAAGAACTTCATTTACTTCAAAGGTAAACTATACGGAACAATTTAGCTGTATTATGATGTAATATTTTATACAGTGCAGTAGTTTTAGTGTGATTTTCTATAAACGATGCAATTTTTTTAAAAATTGTCTTATAATCTTTGCCCAGCAGTGTTATGGTGTTATATAAACTTTTATCTATTTTTTGTTTCTATTAACTATGATCTAACAAATGATCTAGCAAATCTTATTCCCTGAGTGGCCATTTTGTAATCTTTTACGATTATTTTTACACAGTTTTTACTTGCTGAATACAGTAAAAAAAATGGATATTTTTTTTGTGATTCATAATTAGAATATATATATTATTATAGTCCCGCATTGATTTCGTCCAGTTAACTGATGTTTCTGCCACATTTAAGGATTGTAGGGATTTTTATTACTAACATTATTTTATTTGGTTTCTTGTAAATAGTTTTTGTTATCATATTGTAAATACTCCTTGGGGCTAGTTTTTAAATTGTTGTTTTATTCCCCCCACCACAGACAATGTATTGTACATATAGGGACTAGTTAGAATTTTCATAGAGACAATGTGGTATTATGGTGGCTGTAGTAAGAAAGGTAAGTAAGAATGCGTTGTTTTGGCGTAAGGAATATTGTTGTATGTTTTGGTCAGTGTTTGTGTCTTGCTAAGTTTAATGTTTAGACAGAAGAAGATCTTCCTTTCTCTAATCCTCCCTTCGGCCTTGTGCCACATTTCTGTGTATATCAGAATAAATATTGCTCTCCCCATTGATACCTCAATCACAGCAATTTAAGGGTGCTACTAGATTGGCAATTATTTCTTTTCTCGCACCTCACATCTGTTGAATTCTCTTCCAGTTTCTTGCATCTAGAATCTGCAAAGATTTAAATGCAACGTCAACTGCCATTTCCTGTTTTTTTGAAACCTGTTCTTTTATTGTCCTTTCTTCCCGCTCTGCTCATTCTCTTCCACTCCCAGTACCCACCTAGTGGTCTTTTCGCCTTTCTTGAGGTGAAATGATTAAAAAAAAATTACTTTTATGCCGCGATATTCTCACTGCTTCAGACTCATGTATGTAGCGCAATGATTTTTAATCTCAGATTTACTAACTCCCCCTTTCAGATATTTCGGGGAGTCAATGTTCCTTATGTTATAATTGCATTGGTGAAAGGAACAGAAAATTATACAACAGTTTTAATGATACAGATTCAACATCGGAAGTTAAATGAATTGGGAACAGCTAAGTCTTTTCATTCTCTTCCACTCCCAGCAGCATCTTGCGCCTTAGTGGCTTTATCGCCTTGCTTGCGGTGAAATGATTAAAAAATAAAGCATACCTTCTACGCTTGAAATATTGGAGATGAACCCCTTGGTATGGGAGATAGTTGCACCTGTAAAAGTGGTTGGTTGTACAAGCCTATGTAATAACACAGAATCATGAATTTTCAAGGCAGACAGCAGGGTACAATTTTCCACGCATCATTTCTTCTCAATTGACCTTGTGTTGTATGAAGACAAGCTTAGAATATAGGAATAATTATGTCGTCTTTCTTTGTGGCTTCTTCCCACAGGGAAATTGCAATATTCTCCAAAGGGATCTAGGTACCATTTCTAAGTTCTTTCTCCGTCCTTCCCCATCTCTCTTCCTTTCTCTCTCTTTTTCTCCTTTCCCATGTCTCTCTCTCTCTCTCTCTCTCTCTCTCTCTCTGTTCTTTTTCTCTTTCTTTCTCAACCGTCTCTCTCTTTATCTCGACCACTCCCTCACTATCGCCATCTTCCTTTTTTCTCTCTCTCTTTCTCCTTCCCCATCTCTCTCCTTATCTTCCTTTCTCTCTCTCTCTTTCTCCTTCCCTATGTCTCTCTCTCTCTCTCTGTTCTTTTCTCTTTTTCTTTCTCTACCGTCTCTCTCTTTATCTCGACCACTCCCTCACTATCGCCATCTTCCCTTTTTTCTCTCTCTCTCTTTCTCCTTCCCCATCTCTCTCCTTATCTTCCTTTCTCTCTCTCTCTTTCTCCTTCCCTATGTCTCTCTCTCTCTCTGTTCTTTTTCTCTTTCTTTCTCTACCGTCTCTCTCTTTATCTCGACCACTCCCTCACTATCGCCATCTTCCCTTTTTTCTCTCTCTCTTTCTTCTTCCCCATCTCTCTCTCTCTGTTCTTTTTCTCCTTCTTTCTTCACCGTCTCTCTCTTT